CAAATTTATATCATGTCGTAACTCGAAATGTCGTATTAGAAGATGTCGTATCTCGAGGACTTAGTGTATATTCAATGTTATAAGTATAAATAACACATCAATAATATGTTGAGTACTTAATATGTTCTCACTGTAATTCCTATTAAAAAGTTGACCAAAAATTTATTGTTGCAAATATTGATAACGGCACAGAATATTATATCCAAAAATTTAAGCCTAAATAAGTGTGTTCGACTGTATATAGTTTCGAAGAATCAACATAGTATGAAAAATTTAAATAGCAACCTAGTTATTGAATTTTGTGTTGACTTCTTAAATTTACTTCACATTTATTTTCACCTGTATAAATAAATTTTTATAATGATGACTTGATGAAATAAGAAAGGTATAAGTATAAAAATATAAGAATACTAGATTTGCAATTCAACAATTTTTGCGGTTTATAATAAAAAATTAAAATTTTTTTTTTCTAAAAATTTATTATTATTTGAAAATCTTGTGATTCACATAATAATTTAAGATGTGGGAGCTGTTTTAAAGGAAGTAAAATTTTTTTATTACATGCTGCTTTGTCACTGTGATATGAAATGTATAAACTACGTCTTACATTATTATTATTACAATATGTAATTTATGCATCATGCTATTTAATTATTTTTTTAAGAAAGTTTAAAATAAGTTTTTTTACTCAAGTTCAGACAATTTTCTTTTAAAAATTTTTAATTGTATGTAGTATATTTCACTTGCGACTTATATGTCCCATATAATCCGCACTTCGCTATTTTGAAATTAATTTTCTTGTTAAAGTGAAACTTTAAATCCTAGTATGAAATTACATGCTTTATTATTTTATCTTAGTGCAACAGAATTTTTTTATGGATTTAAAAAAAAGCAAAAAAGAATCTATTTAAATCTGAGCTATCTTAAATAGTTTGTAATTAAAATATAGGAAAATTATAAAACGTAATTATTTAATTTTCGTAAATTAACCAACAGTTTTGAAAGTACATGATTGTGTCCTAATGTTTACATGTACAGGTACATATACTCGTACATATATTATTTTTTTAAATTTTTCTTTCTATTTTAAAATTTAAATATTTTATGTAATTTAATATGCAAAAGCAGTAAAGGGTTTCATTTGAATACACGTATTTATTACACTAGACATTATTTGTACATTTTCATTCATACAATCATATTAGAGCTGAACTGTCTTAAGTCAACTTTTAAGTAAAATTGAAAAAAAAAATGGTTTTATAAATTATCAATTTTTAAATATATATGCTTGCTATTTCAACTGCAGAAGGTAAGACCAGATCAAAAGAACAAATTAAAACTCTACAAAATTTTCTTAAAATTTCCCTGTATCTCGAAAAGTGTCGAGCTTTGTCACCAATTTCAGAACAAAAGTCTTACACATTTTTGTTTCTCTGAATAATGGCATATAAAGTTGTACCCGCGAATTACTGGATCATCCTGTAGGAAAACAAATTTTAAAAGAAAACTTCAAATCGCTCTCTTAAAAATTTTTTAAAATGCGACACATAATAGCTTCGATCTAAAGCGACAGTATGTATACCTATATATGAAGTGTAAGAATATACTCGTATGTATGTTTGGAGTTACGTTGCCAGCAATAATAATAATCCATATAGTAAAAAATCTTATTATAGAATGACTTTAATTTAATAATAACTTGGCTACTGACCATGCTTGCTCATAATACAAATAGTGTATGCATATGTACATGTTATATGCAAACAAAAAAAAATCTATTTATATTTTAAGAGTTCCTATACGGTTTACATATATATGTATATATTTAAAAAAAAATACAAAATAAATTTACACCTTAATTCTATAAATTATTATATTATGTTTTGGATAATGATCATTGGGAACACCATATTATAACAGACAATATGTTTATACATATATAATATATGTACAGTATACTTACATATTTTATGTATGATGAGACTTTTTTAATTTATGTACATGTATAGATGGCAACGTTCAACGCCCTCGAACTTATTATTATTCTTTTTTTTTTTTTCTTTTTCTTACTATTTCAGTGTATTTTTTTTGTATTCATCATAGTTAATTTTTACTTTGTATTTTAACGATTATTAAAAGAGTAACGAAAATGATTTAATTTAGTTTTGAATTTTAATTATGTATGTACTTCTATGTGTAAATATATAGATGTATATATAAAATAACACACAAATATGTAGGCATTTAATATAAATGAAGAAATTTTAAAGTTGGCCAAACCATTTTTGGGATATCCATACCATATTATCACTCATTATATTCTGTATATAAATATGTATATACATATTTATAAACATATGTATACAATATTCTATCTACGGTTCACAATGGATTTTTGTGTATATGACAGTTTATTGTGCATTTTTAAATATTAATTGTTATAACCTAAATATTATAAATTTTTATATTATACTTAAATTAGTTTACAAGATTTTTTAAGTCAGTTCAACAAATCTATACAAAAATGTATTGTCTGCGTTCCATTTTAAAGTCTTTATGACACTCTTAAACTAATTCACAATAGTTTAAGAGTATACTTTGCGTGTATGAAAATTGTATGTGGTACAATATGTAGAGTAAATAGAAACCTATTTATAAATTTGAATTATTAAGAATTCTGTGTTTAATGGGCACATCTATATTGGAATTACTTAATTTTCTGAATTGAATTTTACGTATTAAAATCGTAATTTCATATAAAAAATAACCAGAATTACAAATTAATTAAATTTTTTTAAACACATACACTTCTGTACATAATATACAAGTTTACACGAGCAAAATAAAAAATTTTCATAGGATGCATACAAAAATTTTAATTATGCGTTCCAATAGCAAAAAAAAAAAAAAGAGTTAAAAAAAAAATATTACAGTAACCAATTACAAAGTTTAAATAAAAGTTACATTTATTTGGTGAAACAAATTTAAAAAAAAAACCAAAAAAAAATTGTTATAAAATTTTTTTGTCTTTTTTTTATTGCTAATTTACATATAATAAAAAATCTTTGTGTTAAGCGTTTCTCATCATATAGATCTACGTAACTTTAACCGGGAAGAGTTTTTTGGAATTAAAGATATGCACATACATATATATCTTATCCATATTATAAAATTACATGCATAAATTTTCATATTTACATACGAGTACAAATGTATATAAACATAATGTAATTTTATGCTCTAATTTCTTATTTATTTCAATATTATTTTCTTATGAAAACTTCTTTAAAATTAAGCTACATACATATGTATATATATTAAACCTACATAAACCTGATTTATTAAATTTTATTTTTCATATTGCTATCCAATTTAATTTTATTAGATAATAATGTTACTGTATATGTATATTTGTACGTTTGCATTTACCTATTCGAATAGTTATAATGACCGATGACATTTTTTAGGTTTCATCTCAATCAAAATTCAGTTTATTATATTGTACGGGGCTAATAACAGAGTGGATTGAAATTTAATTCTTTTATTATGTATACATATATAATTTTGATTTAATTATTAATTATTTTTAACTCAAATATATATGCATATATATATATATATATTGAAGTACAATAAAAGTATCTATTTCTGAGTGTGATATTTTTCATCATGGACAATAATATAATTGCGTATATTCACAATAATTTCGATTGTAGTCAAACTTTGTAATAATAAATTGTTACCATGAATTGCAAAAAATTAAAACTGCAATTCTGATTGTTTGCAATTTATCTGCGAATATCAAAAAAAAAAAAAATTAACTCAATTACTTTGCTAAAATAAAAATATATAAGTACCTATATAAAAAATTTTCAATTGATTTCTAAAATTATTATTATACAGTCAAAAGAAAATGTACACTTACATATTTAAAAATCTCTTTTACAAATAATCTTCTTAAGTGAATTCTAATGAAAATCTTATTTTAATGGTAAGGCTAAAATATTTCATGAAATTTATAAAATTTTTTATTTTAAACAAAAAATTTTCATTGTGGAATCAAATTCAAAGTACAGTTATAGTTTAGTTAACGTATATATGACAATACAATTTTTGCTAGTAAAACATAAAATTGTCGAATATTTAGAAGAAAGTACAAATTTATACCTTATATTTCTTATATCTGAGAATTGATTAATATTTTTTGTGTTTTAAGGCTTTTAGCCATTTCATTAGATTCACCAGATTTTTTCGTTTTTGGTAGTTTTAAAAGAATTACATAATGTATCAATGCATTTGTATTTGATGGTGGTTATTAACAGGGCTAGGTTGTCTACTAAAATATTGCGTCTTAAATTGTAATAACTTCCAGAAAATTGTATAATATTTATTTTAAGAGCTTACAGAGACAGTCGACATGTTTTATTATTGTCAATACGAAACATAAAAATTCATAGTCGCAGGTTTAGTGAGATAATTTGTTAAAATAAAATTTTTGAATTATTAGAATTAAGGTTTTTTTTAATTTATAATGTTAAATATTATTCTTCTTTCTCTTGCTTTTATAATATTCCTCAGTGAAACGTCTATAAAAATACAGCTATTGTTTATATGAATATTATTTTCAATGTGATTTATAAATAAAATTGCACTTATTTTGAAAATTAATATATAAACAACATATAAATATAAATATGCATTGAATAATTATAATATGTATGCATATTATGTATAATAGCAAAATGTATATTTGAACAAAATCAAAACAAAAATAAAATAACCAAATAAAAATAAAAATGTTCTAAAAATAATTTTATTTCTAACACAATTTTTAAGTTAAAAATTCCCAAACACCAGAAATAAAAAAAAAAAATTTCTAAAGAAAACGCAATAAATTTCAATCACAAAGTGTTAAAAACAAAACAAAAATAAACAATAATAACAACAAAAAATAAAATTGAAAATTTAAATAATGATGCAATAATGTGTTTATTTTAAAAATGGTCACAACAATTAAAATAACATGCGATGGGGTATTTATCCAACAGAATTCATTTTTAACATCAAATTACCATCAATTATCAAATTTTTCACGTACAAATGCTACCACAACTACTACTCATCGTAATTTAAATGAAAATACCAATACAAATACGTATAATAATACTAACAATAATAATAATAACAATAGTAGAGTGAATGATATTTTCAATGAAAGTAATCATAACAATAATAATACTAATGATATACAACAATCATATGGTAACAACAATAGCAATAGCAACAACAGTAATAATAATCGTAACAACAATAATAGACTTAATAATAATAAAGAATTGCTGCAACCTGTTGAATTATTTGATAATGAATGTGAAAATAAAATAAATTCATCAAAGAAAATCATTTATAAATGTTCAACTAATAAATATACAACAAAAAGTTTATCACCAATTTTAAATGAAGGAGAAAAACATCAAAATTTTGGTGAAAATAATAAAAGAAATAAAAATTTAAAAATATTTCGTAGCATAAGTTTCAGTAATACACCAAGTGAATTAAAACAAAAATTAAATTTATCATCATCAGTTAGATTCAATACATCTAATTTAAAATTTCTTGTAAGTTTAAAACAGAGAATGTTAATTGAATATCAAAAGTTTCTTTTATTAAATTTTAAGCAAATGTTAAATAAATGTTTTTTATAGGAATTTTTTCTGTAAAATATTTAAATATTTAAATTTTTATTTTTAATAAGTTCCCAAGTTACAAAACTCGGAATTCTAACTTTTTGCTAACTCAAAAGTGTGTAGAAAGTATGAATGACCAAACAATATGTGAATGATGCCTAATCAAGGCAATTGCCATTCACAAGATCCGATAATATAATAATTTCAATAATTTCAATATTATTTTTCAAGTTAAAACAAAAATTCTACAATATTTTATAACAATTTATTCTAATGATTTGAGTTTTTTAGAAGAAATTATGTTAGTAAGTGATTGCTTTATTAAAGGAAAAGTATAACTTTTCAAAATTTGATGTCATGTCGGTGCCTCAATCATTATACCAGAAAGTAAATACAATGTCAGGATGACATTAATTTTTAAATTTACAGAAAAAATTATTCCTACTCAATTACTCTTCCTTTCTTTTAACATTATTAATTTTTTACCATTAAACAAACTCAATTCAATAATATTGTACTACAAAAAGCACGCATTCATTCATTTTAATAATAAACAAAATGTCAATAACCTTTTTGATTTTTGAATCATGCAAAAATTAAATAAAATTTAAATAATGCACTAAAATACACAATTAAATAATTAAAATGTTAAAAAGAAATGTTTTATTTTTATAGCGATTCATAAAAATTTTTCATTTCTTAATAAGTATACATAAAAAATTAAATAATACAAACATGTTTACTATATTTTCAAAACAAAATATTTTTTTTTTCAATTAGACAAAGAAATTTAAGAATTCATCATCATTTACAAAAGACTTATTTAATAAAACAAATAAAAATGATAATAATAATATTATAAATTCAAACAGAGAGAATTTCCAATGGAAATTAATTAATACAAATCATATAAATTTAAAAAAAAATCATTATCGTAAAAATGATGAAGAAGAATTTATAATAAAATCGAAAACATCAACATTATCATCAATAATATCAACATCAACATCAGCATCATCATCCATTCATTCATCAAAATCGAATTCATTAGGAAGAAAATCATCAATTTTAGTTAAATATAATGAAAGAAATAATAAAGATAAAAGTGATGAAGAATTTCAATTATTAATCAATAATGAAAATGATAAATTAACGATACCATTTAAAACAAATAATAGAGAAGATGAAGAATCAATTAAAACAGAAGCTATTCAAATTTTAAAAAATGATAGAAATGAAAATATTAAAAATAAAACAATTTTATTATCAAAAAAATCAACATCATCAATATCATCATCAAGTTCGTCAACATCATCAAAATCATCGAATTCAATAACATCAACATCATCATCAATATCAACATCAAGTTTATCATTACAATTATTATCAAAAAAAATACCAATATCGTCAACATTACCATTATCATCATCATCATCAAAAACATCATTTACATTGCCACAAACAATTGCAAAACGTTTTTCATTTCCATTCCCAACATGGTCATCAACAAATTTATCAAAATTAAAAAAAACAATTAAAACATCAACAATATTATCATCATCCTCCACATTATTAGCAACATCCCGTCATAATTGTAAACAAGTCGAAAAACAACCACAGCAACAACGATATTGTAATCATCACCAACAACAATATCATCAATGCAATCATAATAGTTGTGATGATTATAATCATTCTCATTATATTCATAATCAAAATAATAATAATAATAATAATAATGATAATGATAATGATAACAATACTAAGAATAGTAAAAATATTACTAAAAGTGATAATTTAAGAAACTGTTATACTTGTATATCTTGTCGATTACCACAACGTTCTAATTCATTCTATAGTGGTTTATTAGAAATTGGGAACCTTCAAGAACAACAACAAACAGAAAAACACAATAAACAGAAACAAAGACAAAAATTACGTAAATTTAATAGCATTAGTGATGCTACAATTTCAAAACCAGTCATCACAACATTACGTCCATCATCATCTACATCAGTGAATATTGGTCAGTAGGTCTTTTGTTTTTATTTTATTTTTTTTTTTTATAATTTTTTTTTTTATCTTTGTTTTAATGTACCTACACATTAAATGTTGGTATATGTGAGTATTTTATTTTTTTTTTACCGTAGTTTTCATTTTCTTAACTGTTTTGTTAGTAATTAATAGGGTATACATGTATGTATTATGTACACTGAGCGCAAACATTTTTCTGTTGTTGTTATTTTAAATACCTGTTTATATTATGTGTAATTTGGTTAGTTAAAACTTGTTTGTATTATTTTGTACTATAATTTTCTTTATGTTTATACCATTATGAATAATTGTTGAGGGTTTTCCAACAAAATAACCATATTGAAATACTAAAAATAACTGCGCTTTCGTTTACTATTTAAAACACTATTTATAAACTTCATTTCAAAACTTTTGATTTAATAGATTTGGAATTTTATAAAAAGCAAATTGTTTGACAAAACGGTTTAAAAATAGTTTTCTTTTTTGAAAAGCACTACTTATATATTATGTTTTAAAATACAAGTTTATGTATGAGAAAGCGTCTTTTCCAAATTAAATTGTATTATTTTTCTTTTTCTTCTGGGAATTTTCAATAGCAATCTATTAACTTTTTAAAATTTGTCTCTTTTTTTAATTCTTTAGATTAACGTATAAGTAATAATGCGTTAATTTTAGTACGATATAACTGTAAATGTAGTTTATAAATCATTTGAATTATAATAACGTAAGTATATATCTTTCAAAATCATGCAACATTAATTATATTTTCACATTTATAAAATTTGAATAGAGACTCGTTTTGTAAGTGCATATTAAATAAAAATTTTATATGAGAATAAAATTTATTTTTAAGTATATTTAAAATTTCCTCTTAAATTTGTTTAACTAAACAAAGAATTAAGAGAGAAATTAACTTAGAATGTTTCCTCATTAGAAATTACGATTCCTAACAAACTTAACCACCTGTTAAATCTAATTGTTAGGACAGTAAAATATTGTTTAAATTAATTATTCTTTTCGATATTGCTCCTTAATGTATGCAATAAGAATTGGTTTTTAATGCATAAAGAAATTTAATAGTGGAATGTATTTTCGATCTTGCTTAAATTATATTATTTTGATGTTATTTATTTTGATTATATTTAAAATTATAACTAAAACATCAAAGCCTATAGATTTCTCGTATGGTTGCCTTACAAATATTTTTGGGCAATAGAATTAACTGTATAAGTAATCTATCCTCAATGTACATTTATAAATTTTTACATTTTAGAAAATTTAATAAAAATAAATTTTTGTGACTCATTTGTTCAAGGAATAAGTAAAGAGAAGGCGATCGAGAGAAGCTCGGCTCGATGTACTTTTTTTAATTGAATGTACATATATATATATATAGGTACATAACGTATATACAAATTCATATTTATTCCGTTAATAATTTTTCAATATGCATGATTCAAATTTTATAAATTAATATTGGACGTGAAGTACATAAGTATACATTATAATGACATAATTATATACTATGTATTGTAAATTTACGTAAAAATTTTATTTTCAATTGCCAAAAGTTTTTTGTGTACATACATGTATGTATGTACATGCGTATACATTTAAAAATGAATTCATAATTTATTTTAAGATCACAAGCAATAGATTTTGCAAAAATTAACCAACAAAGTTCATTTATTATTTTATTTACACTTATTAATACAAAACAAAAAATTGTTTAAAAATCATTTCACGTTTAAAATATTTTTTTGTGTGTAAGGTAATTTTAATATTATATAATACATATATATTTTTAATGAATGCTATACTAAAGTAAAATTAGAATAAAAGTGATGGACAATTATATGACAAATTAAATTCATTATTGAAATAATGATTAAATTTTAATTATAATATTAATATCAAAATAACTTACATTAATATAAGAAACTTATGATATAACAGTTACGTTTGAAAACAATTAAATTAATCTTTTTAGATTTGTAAAAATAATATTGAAATTTGTTATACTTAGTGTATAACGAATTCTTCAATTTTTTTTTTAATTTTTGTACTTTTGGCACTTGAAATATACTGACATGTAATGAAATCACTAAATTCAAATGCTTATCATAATTAATAAAATGCTAATACTTTAATTATGACAAATGATGTTTATTTTTGAATAAGTATTCATAATTTTTTTTTATAATTTATGCAAAAAGCTTAATATACAAACATTTTATTTTGAAAACGTGATTTTTTCCACATTTTAATTTTTTGCAATTTGTTATTATTTAATTATAATTTTTGTTTTCTCTTATATGTTTTAAGATTTCTCCAATAATCCCTTTCTCATCATTTAAAGTAAATTATAGCTTCTCATGCTGATCCCATTTTCAAAAACTGTTAACTTAAATAGAAATAATTATTGGTTTAAAAATTTTTATTAGGCTTTCATTATAATAATTGTTTTACCCGTACGTTAACGTGTTGTAACCGTACGAACGAATGTTCGAAGAGTGTTACAAATTTGTCATTTTGATTAGTACACTAAGAAACAGACGTCTAAAATGTAGTCATAAAAATATGTTTTGATCCAGCGTCAAATTCTGATTCAATTTAGTCAAGTTTGTTCATCCATTCGAAAACCCATTTAGCTAAATTAACCAAATTTTCATTAATTTAAAAGAGTTGTTGGTGCAAGAACCCTATTTAATTTGGGTTCAATCATAGCAATGGTTCAAACAGCTTTAACTACAAATTTTTTTTACTTTTGTGTTATATAAAATTATAGAATAAGAACTATTTATATACGTTAAATTAAAAATTTTAATATCAATATCATTTCAACTAACTTAATGTAGACCAGTTAACATTAAAATTTGTTTCTATACACTCATAGAATACAAAAAGGCAACTTTGTAGCTTGAAATAAACTTTATAACTCGATAATAACCTTTATCAAGCCTTACAAAAACTTTTGTTCTACTTTATCTAATCATTTTTACTGATTAATATGTTCAAAATTTTATTCCCAATGTTATTAATATAGTATTTGAATTATGAATTATGTACTCATAATACTATGCAGTTGAATTTCTAAATTGTAATTCTTATAATATTTGATATTTATAATTTCTAAATCGAATTTAAATGTTATAATGTAATTTTAAATCTTAACATACGCTTTTAAGTTATAAGATGCTTAAAAAGAGGTTATAAAATATTTGTATAATCAATCTGTATACATTACAAAGTGCAGAATCACTCACAGGGTACAATAATAAAAAATTTTTAAAGTCCATGCATCTATCTAAGAAACCATTCAGCTTTGACATTCTAGGTGTTTTGAAAAGTTTTCTAAATAAAAGTTTTAACTAATTTTAACTTTTTTTTCTTACAGAATCACTTGATATTCAAAATTTAGAAAAAAAAATAATTTAATTTTTTTTTCTGCAACTTTGCTTTTGCAAATTCTACTTGAACAATGCTAATTTACCTGTAAGACATTAAATTTTATGATTTATTGATTACAATAATACATTTATAATATGTTTACGTATAAAATGTGTATGGATTCAAACATGTGCATGTGTTTATTTTCTCTGAAGCGAAAGAGAAAAAGATCAACGACCATTAATTTTTTTTACATGGAAAATGTCTTTTTAATTTTTATTGCATTGAAAATTTGAAGTAAATTACATTTTATGCGGTCTATTGAAGTTTAGACTAGTTTTATTAATTTTTTTTGTTTGTTTTATTATACACATGAAAAGAAAAATTTCACTTACTTTGATAGTTAGTAGCTAAAGTTTTTTATTGTAAAAAATATTCTTCACGTTTTAAGAGATTTTCTTTCTTTTTTATTTTGATTTAATAAATGGGTATGTCTTGTCTAATAAACTTGAAAAATTGAAAATTTTCTGTTTTCGCTATAAAAACACAAATTGATATGTAAATAAGTGCTATTGTAATACCATATAGCCTTGTAACACTTAAAAAACAAAAAGCTTAAACATTTTACTTTCCATCTTGCAATTTCCGAAGACATGAGCTTTGAAAAAGTAAACAAAACGTAAAAGTACTCTATGGCGTTTAAAAGTAAAATTATAATCTCTATGATTTTTTATTATAAATAATTAAGATAAAAATGTTTAAAAAAATAAAAAACAAAGGAGAAATAATCATTGTTTTAATAAGTATGTATGTTGTTTTTTTCGCGATTTTCTTTTAATTTAAGGTTTATACACTTTCTTAAATTAAATTATTTACACTTTTCTGGTGAGATTTCAAAAAATTTCATTGTATTTTTTAAGTTCTAATTTAATTCAAATTTTATCTACTTTAAGTCAAAAAAACAATTCATTATAATTAACTTGTACACAAATGGAATTGAAATACAACAAAGAATTATGGAACATCGTAATTTACAAACAGATTTGAAGAATGGGGAGCAAAAAAGTTGGGAGAAATTAAAAGAGATTATTGAAAAATTTTACTCATTTTATAAACGCATATAAAAGAGAAATTAAAATAATTATTAATACAATTTAGTAGCGTTGTACCGCAGATAAATTGTATACTTTCAATTGAAACTCTCGCACGCTAATTATTAAAATTCACGCTTGTAAAATTATCACACAAGTGACATTTTTAGTTAACAAAATAATGAATTTTCCTTATATAAATAAAAGCATTCAATTTTTTATAATATTTTCATGGACACCGTATATATATATGTATATATATACTGCATTTTCACTGAATATACATATGTATACATACATAATAAAAAAGCAATCAAATAATAACGTATAATGTAAGATAACGTAAGATAATGAGTTTTTGGAATAATATCAAATTAGTTTTAAGAGAATGACGTTGAATAAAAAAAAATTTTAATGTGATTCGTAATGCAGTAATGGATTGAAGAACAGAGCTAATAGAAGAATTTCTGAATTAAGGTTATTCCCGAGTCCAGTATATAAAATTTTCGTT